TTTTGATTCTAATGAGTACTAAATGGCATCGCAAGGTGAAATAGTTAGGAATTTTCTCATTTTCAGCTTTTCCGACTGAATTCCTGAAAGTTTTGTTCGAGGTTATGTTCTATTGTTTTGAACCGAACGATACATCGAACCACTATCAAAAACGATCGATTACCGATCCTAAATTCCCCCTCTACCACCCCCCCCCAAAAAAAAGCTCAGTGTAAATAGATTTTGGTTTTAATGTGCCCTATTTTGATTAAACATGTTCTGTTGATGGATACAGCGGTTGCGGTTGCGGGGGCGACGAGGAGCCGACAGGACTGGCCGAGTGGGCGTGCACGTGTGGTGTGGGGCGGCAGCGAGGGCGCCGAGACCTGCACCGCGAAAAGGGGCGCGACCTGGCGCTGCCCACTCCGGTGCCGATACCCGTCGGGCTCGGGCACACCGACCGGTTCAACGGCTGCCTCCGGACCTGCAGCTTCCACGCGACGCCTGTGCCTGTGCCTGTCCACTGCCCCGGCAACAACGGTTGCTGCCGCCATTCGGACGTCATCCACGACGTCGTCCCCAACTTCGTCCACCACGAGGACACCCACGGCAAATGCAGGGATTGCCACAGGTCGGTCCCGAATAAATTTTAGTCATTTTTCCGATACACTGAAAAAAAACTCCGGCCGCGGGAGCCGCAATTACGGGCTATATAGACATACCACGTCCGTTCCGGGCTCAAAGGCCGCAAATTCCGGCTGCTGGAGCCGTAGCTTCGGCTTCTGAACCTGGAGCAATCGAAGCTACGCCTCTAGCAGCCGGAATTTTCGGCCTTTGAGCCCGGAACGGACGTGGTATGTCTATATAGCCCGTAATTGCGGCTCCCGCGGCCGGAGTTTTTTTTTCAGTGTAGTGTAAGTCAGAAAATATTAATCTTCAAACGCTCAAAATACCTATGGGACCTTTCAAGGATTGCGTAACAAACTTTTGCCGATTTTTTGAACCCCTCCCCCCTTTGTAACGCAACCCTAAATCTCCTCTTTTGAATTACGTAACGCTTGCCTGAATCTGATATGCACCGTTTCTCCGGTGGCTCCAAATCGAACATACCTCTTTTTTCCCCAACAAACACGGATTCATTTTTGCATAGTAAAGTCAACTTGAAAGGAAAACGTTTATTTCCAGCTTATCCATAAAATCCATTATCTATTTAAGGAATTAGAGTCTTTAGTGTGGAAGATAAAAACGGATACGTTTTGTCAAATCATCAATTCTGTCGAACTGTAGCGTACATTAAGCAGTACTCTTTCGATTGAAATGGAATAATATGGACCGCGTTTAGCAGAAAGGAACCAAGCCTTATCAGCTATCGCTGAATTCAACCGGGCAATTTTGTTTTTTTTTGATAAGAGAATGTTCGTGCGGATTCCTTGAAAAATTTTAAGGAATCCGCTATGTACTATGCAGGAGATTCACTGAAATTTGCCCCAAAATCCGCACAACCGTTTTTATGTAAAAAATTAAAATGTCCAATTAAATTTGGCAACAGCTCATGTGGCTTGGTTTCTCTCTACTTAAAGGGGTCCGTACAGCTGAAGTTTTAGTCTAATCGTATTGATAACCCATAGAGAAAAAAAGGAGGTGTTTGCATCTTAAGGATTGTGTACCCTGTGACGTAGGTCGGTACAACCTGGTCAGCAAAATCCGGAATTCGAAGTATGAAATACGGACCATTCCGTCCGATTTTTTTGCTTAAATCAATTCATGATATAATTTCAAACACTTTTTGTAGAAAGCATTTTTTTCCATAAACTACACCATTTCCAAGAAAATCGATGATAAAAGTCGCCGTACCGACTTGCGTCATCAAAAAAATTCCAAGATGAGCGAAATTCAAACACCTCCTTTTTTTCTCTATGTTGATAACCTTTTCATTGTGTTTCATTGAACAGGCAAGACATGCTTCACGACGCGATGAAATTGAAAAATTCCCTCGACATGCAATACGAGCAACAGAGGACCTCGACCCTGCGCCGCCATTACGAATCCGTTGGCGGAACTAAATGTTGTGCCGCAAGCGGAAACACACGCTGGACCGGAAGTGACGACGGGAGGTGGACGACGAAAGCGGAAATGCCTCACGCGACGGTGCGGAAGGTGACCGAGATCGGCGACTGCGTGGAGAAGAGCGGCCGGACAGCTGGAGGTAGAAGTGTGGACGAAGACGGGGGAAGCGGAAATGGAGAAGAAAGCGGAAACGAGAGTGACAGTGGCGGACACAAGAGCAAATACTTGGACACGAGTTGTTGCTCGGGGGAGTCGGTGAGATCCAACGGGGATTTTGCGTATTTTGAGGAGCGGATAGGCCCTTATGCCTCCACCTCCGTGCCCTCCATTGACGAGTGACCCGCAAATCGTCGTCTTTCTCCTCACCTCATAGTGAAAAGGTATGGAAATGAAATTATAAATGGGTATATATCTGCCAGACGAAACCAGAGACAGGCGGGAACGATTGGATGTGCTCCTTAGTCGAGGGCCGTAAGAATAAACGGGAATTATAAAGCACCAGTGACGTCAGTGGCAACGAAGCCGCCGCACTGTATTTGGCGCAATGCGGGAAGTATTCCTACAGTCTTGTAGGCGCTACGCGTTTCACGCCGACCGTTGCTGACCGCACTGTGTCTGACGCTATGCGTGAAGTATTCATGCAATCTTGTAGGCACTATTATGTGTTACATGCCGACCGCCGCGCCGAGGGCTTCTCCTTTTCATCTCAAGTCCTCGTCATCATTCCTCTCTGCGCTGAGCTTCAGGCCAAATTGCGTGTTTGGTCACTCTCTTAACTCGACTAATTAAAGATGCTGTCTCTTGTATCACCGAAAAACAACAAAATTAGAAATTACTATACTCTCAAGAAAGAGAGATTTTGTCCCATTTTCTCATTGATAATTTTTTTTCTGAATCCCATTTTTTTATACCTACATTTAAAAATATGGCAAAATTTGCCGCCCCTTTTGCTGCCATGGGCCGCGGCCCATGTGGCCACCCCCTTAATCCGGCCCTGACCTCTCAGTCCGGCCTCTCTTATGACTCGTCATGAATCATTACTCATGAGCCCTGTCCTCGACGCTCTTACCGCATGCCCACGGCTCAGGAGCGCCGCATTCAGTTGGCACATACTCCCGTTTGACAGAATGTGTAAAATCCCGCTTTTCCAATTCTCAAAAGGAACTAGGCCCACTTTTACATTGTTTCTTATGCAGCTTTCTAGAGCACATCCCATCTTTTCCACTCGTCTGTAATTCATCCGTTTGGCAGACATACATCCAAATAATTCGGCAACGCTCAGTTTTTGCCTAATTTATTCTTATGTTTTATTTTTTTTAAGGAAATTTTCAATTTCCTCTAGATTATAAAGAATATACTCACTTTGTCAGCACGTTGCTTAGTTTTCTTCTGAAAAAATGAAACAGAAGAAATCAGGCAACGTCTAATGTGGTTAAGCTGACTCTGGTAAATTATATTTGATTTTGAACGAATCTATAGCTCGCACCAAGATCGTCGGCCTAAACAGGATTTTTCGATCCCGCTCGACTAAAACAACTGTGTCGAAAAGTTTGCCTTTTTTGACAGAAGTGTTTTTTCTAAAGGAAATCACAGATTTAGAATCATAGAGGCAGAGGAAATTATTTAAAATACAGCCTCTTCACCGACAAACGTACACGGTTGGTCCAAGCAGTGTGAAATTACGTAATCAGTGTTTAAAATTGCGTCGAGAGGTAGATTGGAAGCGTGTAAAATCAGACGCGCAACTATACGTGCTCCACCGTCGTCCTGGTTGCGTGGAGGGAGAATCGAAGGCGTTTCATAAGTCTCGTTCACGCGCGCGTATGAGCGTGCTTCTTTAACTTTGTACCTATTGATGACGTCACTTAAACTGTAACAAAATCTATGATTCTGCATGATATTTTGATTTTGATATGTCCAATGACTGTCTCTTCTCTCCCTATATGATCTTTTTAAAGTCGCTTATCATAAAAAGTAGGGGGAGTTTGGCATTTGACCTTGTTCGAGTGATTGATAATTAGTCAAGTTGTGGGTACCAAGAAAATGGTTTCGTTCAAATTAAAATTCTCGAGCGTGCAAACTCATAGCACTTATCGTTGTTCAAAATTGTGGTAGAAAGAGGGAATATTGATGTTTGTTTTTATGAGAAAACGAAAAGGTGAGTCTGAATAAGAATTGAAAAATCATCGAAAATTTCGGGAAAAGTTCTTTGGACGGAGTTCTATGCAATTATGGGTTTTTCTCATTTATCCTTGGGCATTGGGATCGGACAACCTGAAACATTAAGAATGCTATCCGCATAGTGGCGATATTCCAGCAAGTTGGCAACACTGTTGATACTCCATTTAAATCCATTGAATAAATCGATTCTAGGTCAGGCAGGCTGCCTCACTTAGTATCGGTTGTTGAACATAGGTACATTTAAATGGAAGAAATTAATATTTTCAACGTGCAAGAATTGCCATTGTATCTGCATTACATATGATAATCGTAGTTTCTGTTACAATGCGTGCGATTTCGGCCTCCTCCATCTGTTCTGCCAACATTTTTAGATGGAAGTACTATGGATCGTATTCGATAGTGGTTCGATATATCGTTTGTTTCAAATCAATAGAACATAACCTCAAACCAGAATTTTAGGGTACAAGTTAGAAAAGCTGAAAATGAGAAATTTTGTAGCAATTTCATTACTCCTGGCCAATTAGTACTCATACAAATTGCATACGAATCACAAATGTATCACAAAAAGCCCGTTACGTCAGACTACTTAGTTGACTTTAGAGGTTATGTCTATGTTTTGAACCAATCGATATCGATACAATCTCACCCGTTTAATGCATCGATTACGATCTATTTCGCCGAACGCAGTAAAAATCATCAATAATCCGTGTAGCAAGGCAACAACGACAGGCTAATGGAGGAAGAGAGTATAATCTTTGGTTTCTAAACTTCTGCTCACTTTCAAATAATTCGATCAGCTGTTAGCCTCGCCAAGAACAAGCTTTCTGGTGAATGGCATTTGTGGCGGTAGTAATGCTAAGCCACCAATGAACGAACCGTTTCCAGTGGTTCTTTTTCGGATTATCAGCCTCCATTTGTATTAAAATTTCAGTTTACTACCGATTCAACTTCTTTTATAAACTGGTGAATTGTCGAAAATTTCTTGCAAATCCTCGTTTCAAAAACTATCAATTAAAATATCGAAATCGAAAAAAAGAGAGTGGGTGGGGCGAGAATGTCTTCCAGCGGAGCCGACGGGGACGGAGCGAACCGGGAGCAGAAGTCGGTGATCTCGGAGGCGATCTGCTGCGGTAAGGAGCGGTCGGTGGAGCGGCGGCAGGAGGAGATGGAGGCGAAGGAGCGGGACTGCACCCTGCGCGACGGCAACGGGAAGATCTACACGGACGTGATCAAGAACGAGACCCGGAAGAACGTCTCCGAGATCGAGTGGCTCAAGGACGAGGTGAAGATGTCCGAGGTCACCCAGGCCAACGTCCACTTCACCAACTGCCAGGGGCGCGCCATCCCCGACGTGGGCAAGCTCGAGAGCGAGGTCCGGCAGCTGACCGTCTGGACGGAGCGCGGCTTCCAGCAGAACCGCATGATCAACAAGAGCGAGACGAGCAGGCTCGGGAGCCCCGACTGCTCGCTCTTCCCGCTCCCCGCGGTCGGCGCCCACCCGGACGATTGGGGCGGCTCCTCGGCCACGCCCACCCCGCGCCCCATGTCCGACGCCCAGCCCTGCTCCTTCGGCGCCACGGATAGGGCGCCCACCTCCGGCGACCCCTGTCAGGATCTCTTCCAGGGGCACAACTCCGACTCCACCAAGAGCTTCCAAGGCTCCTGCTTTACTTCTTCGGATGCTAAGAGCAACCAGACGCCGCCAAACATCTTCAACAGTTGCAGTGACCGGAAATGCTACCACACCAACGCTAGCCCCTATACCAACTGGTTCCGCGCAAACAGCATCCACGTCCTCCGGGCCTCCATCCTACTTCAACGGTTCTTCAGATGACCTAGTTCCAGACTCCTTTCATCGCGCATCCCTTTTGAGATGCTGAAACGCTACCACACCAACGCTAACTCCTATTTCACCACCAACTGGTTCCGCGCAAACGGCATCCACGTCCTTCGGGCCATCATCCTACTTCAACGGTTCTTCAGATGACCTAGTTCCAGACTCCTTTCATATCACTTCCCTTTTGAGATGCCGGAAGTGTCACACAAACTAATTCCAATGCCAGCTACTCCGCCGCTCCCTGGTTCCGCGCCTAACCATTAACCAACGGCCTCCAAGTCGTCCATGCTTTCTCGCTAAGCGGACGGTTCTTCAGGTGACGTATTTCCACAACTCTTCTACCTCGGTTTCCCCTCTTCTTGTCTTGGCCTTCCTATCCTATACGCATTCAAAAGACATCCCTATCGATTCAAACACTAATCATGATTTACTGCGCGCTCGGAAGGTTTGGGGGAAATCTATTCGAACCATGGTTGCTACGCGAACGTTGTCATTGTCGAATTTTTTCAGCTGATATCGTCTTATCTTTCTGTCAAGGTCGTCTAACCGTCCGTCGCCTTCCTGTTTTGTGCACGTCCTGAAGCTTCGACGGAACCATGCAGAAATCTACTCCGCGACCCCTCACCCCGCAAGAGGCGAGTGCGGTGCCTCCTACCATGAATCCTTTAGAGCATATGTTAAGCCTAAAAACGAAGTGTGAGTCGTTTGCGTACGGTTCTCTCTGGCAATCCTTGGGGATCGGGCCTTTTCAAGAGCAAGATGACGATGACAATGATGATCGCCGTCGCAGTAAAAAAACTTCCGATAAGACATCGCCTCACGATGAGAGTCACGAACCACTGGATGTGAACAACACTAGCAGCTGGCTTGTGGTGAGTTGCTCATCTTGTTGCTCCATCGATCCTAAGACGTCCCTTCGTTTATCATTACCATCGATCGGGTATATATCAGTTTATTTTTACTTGCCTGTTTTTCAGAGCGAGACTCATGGGTAAAAATGGTATCGGCCCGGGGGGAGGGTTGCGGCTACCCCCTCCCCCCCCCCTTTAGAAGTATACCAGGCTCCGCTCAAGAAGTGTGAGGGATTTTGGTTAGCAAGCGTTTGACGTATTTTTCACTCTTAAAATACCTATTTGGATAAATTTGTTGGTAAGAATAGGTTGAAAATTGCCCCTAACACGACTTAATTTTTCAAAATTTTTCCGAGAACCGCCCTTTGAGACTAGGGAAATTTTCGCTTAAGATTGAGGGCTAAACAATAAAATTTTCACAATTAGAAATGAAAATTGTCCGATTTTATGAGTCTCTACAATCGATCTTATGAGTCTCTACAATCATTTTCATAGAAATAGAAAAAAATAACACTTTCTGAGAGAAAAATGAGGGGTTTGTGGCAAACCCGCTCCGAGACGGGGATCGAATGTCGTATCAAATAAGGGTTTTTTCGCAGACCAATTCTATTCTCATTTTTTTCGATTTTTTACTTTATGTAACATTACAATGAAAAAATAGGAATCTTAAATGTGTCACCAAGAAGTATTTGTTCTTAAATCAAGAATTTTGCTGCTTAAGATAAACTACTTTTATGCTTATCCCATGCAAGCATTATTTTTCTTGAATCAAGAAAAAATCAGCGGTAATCAAGATAAAAAATTCTTGGCGGAAAATTCAAGAATCGTCATGCTTGAATCTAGCAATTCATTTTTCAGTATTAGAGATTGGTTCCTTTGACTAAATGGACAAGAGTTATGGTCCCTTTTTTTGGCATTAAACGCAAAAGGTAGCCCAAATATCAATTTAATCGAGTCGATGTATATCTGACGTCAGTCCGACGACAACCGAACAAATCGCTTTCATGTACCTAAGAAGGAAACTGTTTCAGCGTCACTGAAACTAATATTAGAGGTCGAGAGGAAAAATCATACGGTATCTTTCTGGTCTCGAAGCAACTGATTTTCGCTCAAAAAGCAAGAGTCAGAACGAGCTACCTGTTTATTTTCCTCTCCCCTATCAGAAAATTAAAATTGTCTATGAGCCTTACATTAGAAGAGCACATTATCGTCCCCAAGCAACGTTCAATCTAAGAACGGTATTACATATTTCTAACCTAAATATTTTTTTTCTCAGGACTTTCCGTTTTAGTTGCCAAATTTTTGTTTTTAAAAAAAACCAGCCTTCTAAAATTACGTGATCAGGATGGCAATGAGGCGTCGAAGAAGTTATGGTCTCCGTTACCTATTTTAAATTTGTGAAGTGTGTTCGAATTTAATTTTAAATTTTATTGCAAAAGAGACAATCCAAAATCGTGAAAAAGTAGAGGTATTTTCGATGGCACGTGTAGTATGTTGCTCGGTGATTGATTTCCCCGGATAGAAGAGATAACAGGTAAATATCACTCTTACTGAAGTTATCTCATAGGTTAGAGTTATCGCTATCCACGACTAAATGTTTTACCACGTGGTTAGTTTCAGTTTTTGGTAATTTATACTATATTTATCTTCAAGTCCAAAGGTCTATCAATATTATTTTTAAAACTTTGATGCCTTTTCATGTTTATGCCTTCAAAAAAGAATGCGTGAAATACATTCATACATTTTGAAATCACGTCTATGTGTAGTATTGACTGAAGGAAATATACCATCGCCAAAACTCAAGTTACGATTTTTGATTTACCTGCCTCGTCGGCAGCAGTTTGCCTTGCAATTACAAGTCGATATTTTCGGCAGCGGGTTGATCGTTGAATCTTAATTGAATGAAATTAATCGAAAGATGGCATTGCTAAGGTAGAAAATGTAGTATTGCTAAGATAGAAAATGTATTGTTCACGGTGATTCGATGACCATCCAACAACCCAGGTGCTGAAAACACTGCCTCAGCGCCTCAGCTACGCATACCAAGCGGTTCAACATTGATTGCGGCGTTTGGATACAACTAAACGTGCACGATGGATGTCCGCGTTGCATACACAGAATATTGCAGGCGCTTAGGTTGACCGCTCGTTCTCAACGGCCGGCGCGACGGCAGCGTTTCACACCGAGATGCGACTCATTACCACATTATGATGTTACGTTAAGTAATTTTTCTTGAATGTTATCCAAATTAGCGCCAATATTGCCAACGCACCTTCATGAAGGTTCTGAAATACGCATGGTGCACCAGCTGGGATTTTTGACATGTGCCTTGTCGACGGTGAAGCTGCAAAAATGCGTGACTCGATTGCAGCGTTTCGAAATCTCCGCTCCCACATCATTTTCTAAAAGGAGATCAAATTAGCATCATGGCTAATACTCTTTGCTAAGAGCAGAGATATTTCTCCAATTTTCAAACGATGACGTTTGGTAGTTTTCCATGTAAAAAATAAAGTATGACTGGAAGTCTGCAAGGCCGCAAACCAAGCTACGCATTCCTGCAGTTTCACCATCGACATGGGATCGCGAACATAGAAATTGAGAGACAAAGAGGAACAAGAAAATAAGAGAAAATGAGGAGAGGCAAGGATGCAAAGAAAAAGAGGTAGAATAGGAAGGAGGAAAGGAAGAAGGAAGACGAGGAAGAGGTAGAAACAGAAGAAAGTGGAGGAGAAGCGAAAGAGAAGGGAGAAAAATAAAAGGGAAACTAAATATCTCTTCTTTCCTTCTTCCCTCCCTCTGCTTGCTCTTCTTTCTCTCCATCATCTTCCTCCGTTGATTTTCTTAACCTCCTCTCTTTCATACTCCTCCTTTTTTTCTCCTTATTTTTTTCTTTTACATCTCTTCTGATTTGTAATGTAACCTCCTGTTACACAATCCAGAAGTGCTGCGGTCTGAGTCGATGTCAATCTACTATGAAAAAAACCCTCCGGCCATGGAAGCTGTACTCACGAACTACATAGAAATGCCGTCCGCGTTCCGCGTTTAGAGGCCGTAAGTTCCGAGCTTAGAGCCCGGAGCAATCGAATCCACGGCTCTCGTACCCGGAACTTTCGGTCTCTGAGCCCCGAACGGACGGTATGTCTCTACAGCCCGTAACTTTTTTTCAGTCTTAAAAATATTTACAGGTGAGGGATGATGAATTCCGGGTGCAGAAGCAACGTTTGCCAGAACGAGAGGATCACCTGGGGGATCACCCGTGGCACGAGGAGCGAGTGTAGCGGCGAGGGCGGGCCCGGGGTCGGACGATGGCAAACACCGATTGGGAGGACCCGGAGTCGGCCGACGGCGGACACTCAGCGGGACGAGCGGGCCCAGATCTGCGAGGAGATCCTCTGCGATGGCAAGAGCCAGACCGAGCGCCGCGAGGAACGACTCGTCGCCCAGGAGCATAACGTCGAGGCCCACGCCGGCACAGGTTAGACAGTACGCCCTGAAGTTTCAGCGGTAGGTCAAGATCGGGAGCTATGCCCACAGCCAACCCCTTGAAGGAGTTCCCCTTAGAAAAGGTCACTTTTGCCTCTTTTCTGGAACACTGAGAAAAAAGAAGAATTTTAGATTTGCTGTCAAGAAGTATTTTTTCTTAAATCAAGAATTTTGCTACTTAATATAAACTACTTTTTTGCTTAATCCAAGCATTATTTTTCTTGTATCAAGAAGCGATTGTATCTTGTATAGCGATTTGACTGCCCTAGTGCATTACTTCCATCAAGATAAAAAGGATTCTTTGCGGTAAATTCAAGAATCATCATGCTTGAGCCGATTGGCTCGAATTAAGAGCTAGCTCTGGCGATGCGAAGTTTACATTTTTTAACATGAAAAATGTCTATGAATGTGCTTAGTACGGAAAAAACGAGTTTAGGGCTGGAACTCGCGCTGGTAGGTTCCGGGCTCCGAGACCGAAAGTTCCGGGTGCTGGATCCGTAGCTTGCTTGGAACTTTCGGCCTCTGAGCTCGGAATGGACGGTATGTCTACATAGCCCGTAAATGTTTTGCAATGTGTGTTGACATCAACATGGCATCATATTTCACTCACCAAACTGATCGTTTTGAGAACGGAAGCGACCTTGATGAAGTTTCACCGGTGGACTATCATGATTACAGGAGAGCGGCACTGTGGGGTGACACGGAACATCAACCAGCACACCCGGACGGAGACGCAATGGTCGGGCGCGGCGGTGACGAAGAAGGACATCGTCTGCGAGAAGATCTTCTTCACGAGCGGGGCCGGCGGGAAGGCGTTCAAGGACCTCGGCGACATCGACAGCGAGGCCACGGTGCAGACGACGTGGAGTCCGGAGGGGTTCCAGCTCACCCGGACCATCAAGAAAGTGGAGAACTTCAAGACGAACTGTCGCGGGGACTGCTCGCCGACGCCGACCACCCAGATCACCGCGCCGTCACCCAAGGGTCTTCAGTCACCCAAGGGTCTCCAGTCACCCGTCTGCGAGGCTGTCGAGATCAAGCCGTTCAAGCCCCTCTGCCACCACTCCAGAGACCCAGATCACGCATGTTCTCTAGGCACCGCTTACCGGTGAGTCCTCGAGTACCTACTGCGGGTTGATTATTGAGATTGATAGGCAAAGCGATAGACAAGGAGAACATGGGGGTAATGGAGCGATCTTATTGATTGAAATGAGTGGTATCTATGAGCTAAGTGAGAATGTCCTGGACTAACTAGAGGGTCTTGTGTGGTTGCCCTTAGTTTGTCCATTACATACGTCCTTTGTCCATTGCAACCACCCGCTTCCACCGAAAGGAATGCAGCGAACACCTAAATAATTGATTCTTCACCATAGATTTAAATGGCATAACAATCGATTCATTGCAATGCACGCCACGCCACTGAGTCGCACTCATTGCAGAGCGCGTTTTTCACCGATCGAAGTTACAGGCAGTAAACAAACGTGTGCCACTAAAGATCTAAAAATCTCTGATGTGGTTTAACATGAACACATCTTTGAAAGACGAGGTCTCTATGCGTCGAGCAACTCTTGCAATTCGTCAAGTGACCCCGGTTTGTTGGTTCACCTACTTTTACGCGTTGCGTTGAAGTCTCTACCGCGATTCTTGCATTTTGATCCAATTTAAAACAACTCGGGTTTAAATTGAAGCTGCGAGTACCTTTACTGAATTCAACGGTAAATTGGTTATTTTCTAGCATTAATTGGTTCGCGAGAAAATTAACAGAATACCTTACATAGATGACCCTTTGTATATTTGCAAGGTATGCCGCTTGTTTTAGATTCTAGAATTGATACTTTACGTTGGTTGATAAACAAACAGCTTACCATGTAATCTTCCATCTACTATGATGGAACGACGTCGTATGTGGCAAGTTTGCTGCAAAAAGAGGGTTGTAAATACTTTTTGAATGGAAACTGCTAATTACGTAAAATTACGCAAAATGTGGCTGCGAATGTGGCTAAGTTGCGGGGGATTTGTAAGATCTTCTTTGGGCAGAACTGTGCTGATCACGTGAAAACAAAATGAACCATATCGATGACAGGTGGGTGTATCGTGCATATTGTTTCTTGAGCAGCAAGTGCGAAACGCCTTCATTTTTTTGAGCAGCACCGCGGACATCATCTGAGTTCGAATAGTTGCATCTGGGAGTTGTCATCGCCTTCTCTCTCGTTATTTTAAGATTGCATTTCCAAATTAAAATAATATAAAGTTATGATTTAAGCAGTGACGAGGCGTGAATGGTCGATATTGAAAAATCGATAGTTCCCCATTTAAAGCCGTGAAAAAGAATTGATTACCTATTAAGGTTTTCGTTGCTAACACCCTGTTATTCGACCATTTTCCATAGATTTAAATGGTAGATCAATCGATATGCATAGCAAAGTACGCCACGCCAATACAGCAGAGGGTCGTTTCAAATAAGCGTTCATATTTGAGACCACTATTTTTCCGAAATACTAAAAATTAAAATTTGTTGAAAACCTTCGGTGTGATATTTTTTGTGGCATTCAAGACCTCAGGAATCAGCTTTAAGTAGTGGTGTCGAAAAATTGGCCTTGTGGCATGTGGTCGCCTTATTGGCGCAGGTTACGGTAATGACGAAATTTGTTGTTTTTCGGCGATAAAACACACGAAAACTCATCAATGTTAATGAAACTGCATATTTGAGGTTAGGACGATACGTTACAATAGAACATGCTGACATTTTAAAATAAAAATGAATTCTTGCCACATTTTTCCATAGTTACGGTAATGACAGTAGTAAGTTACCCTTAAACACAAAATTCAATGTAAATAACACAAAATTACTCATAAATTTGAAACAAAATGTGATAATAACTCTCCATGCACTCAGCTTCCGAACACTTGTTGACTCAATGATAAACACTGTTG